ACTTCAGCACAGGTTTAGTAACATTTGCGCTTTTATGTTTTAAGTACCTTACTTCTGTTTTCTTTATATTGGACTGTTCACGTATGTGAAGTACACATTGGAAGTGTCAAAAGAAGCAGAGGCCCAATTCACTACCTATTCTTTTAATAAGGAAAAATATGTTAAAAAGGCAAAATACCTCCATAAATGTGACTAAAAAGACTTTGTCATATAAACGCTGACACAAACTTGTTTATTTTTAAAGAGCCATTAGCATCTCCCCATACTGCTTACCCTCCTTTTGCAAAAGAATGGACATAATGAGTTAAGCAATTTTTTTTTTTCCCTTTTTAAACCGATTTGAATTTGTATCTGCTGAATTTTATCCTTTGCTTCCTGAGTGTCAAGTGAAGCTTTGTCCCTGATGGCAAGTAGTTACCATATTATCAGCATGAAAACATGCAGCACTTGGGTTTGTAAGGCAGGAGGTCCCCATGAAAAAAAATAAAAAAGGCTGCAAATCTCAGAAACCAGAGTAATATTAAAGTCAAAAACCGTTAGAGCTAGTTATAACAGGACTGCTATAATACTGCAGAAAGTAGGGCATCCACACTTTTCAAAAGAAAGTAACATAAAAGCAGGTTGCTCATACGCTGCCACCAGCCCCTCTCGCTGGCAGCGCCTTCTGAAATAGCAGAGCCTTTGTAAAATCAAGTACTGCCTTCCTCCACCTGAATCAACGGGGGGGAAAAATTCAAATTCACCACCTAATACCTCCCACTACAAAACTACTACCAATACTTTGTGGAGGAAAATGAGCTATTTGCCCCTGATGCAGTACTATGAAAAAAAAGAAAAATTATCTGTCCCCTAAATCCAGATTATAGTAGCATGTGGAATGGGAACTGGCAGTGTCCAGTCCCTTTACAGGAACACTATGCTTATTGTCCATTTTGGCTCATTTGAAAACAAAATTGGAGCTAGTTGCTAAATTAAGACATGAAGCTGATACATTTTTGCTATAAGATATGAAAAAAAACCCCACCCTAAACTGTAACTCACTATGTCCACTTTTTTTAGGAAAAGGCAATTATCTTTGCTATTTAAAAGCAGGTAATGTGTTTATTTTAAATATGTGGGTGAGATCACATTTGCTGGTATTCCATTATGGTTGTGGTGGAATAGAAGTAGAAACCCTCTCAAACTTGCTAATCAAAAATCATAACTTACCTGTTCCTCGACAAAGGAGAGGCATTTAAATGTTTTTTAAAATCATATTAATCCGATCACAATGCTGAAAAATTGACTGTAATAGGCTTATTAGCCACTTTGGTTTTGTTTTTACTTAAACACTAAACTATCTGGAACTAAATATTAAAAGCAAACACAAGCAGAAATTTTCAAATAAAGAAAAATCCCTCTGATATATGGAAGTAACAGAAATAACTGCCTCAAAAGTTCCACTGCAATGGAAAAGAGAATGTAAGCTAATTTTATATTTCATGTTTCAAACAGTAAAAGCACAGTAGAAATGTAAATTAACAAAACATTCTCATGTGCCCCTACATGTTCTAAACCCAAGAAACTTCCAATAATTCCTACTGCTGGAACAGTTACAGCCAGCTTCTCAATGGAGACACAACTTCAGGAAGCTGAAATCAACAGTTCAATTTAGAATTTCACAGAATAATTACTGTTACAATCCTGAAAAAGATCTTTCAGAACTGAGTGCCTGAAGATAAATACGAACTTAAAAGCAGAGCATCTAAAAATGATCTGGTTCTTCATGTTTCAAGTGTGAATACTCACCAATGACCTTAGTGGCAGTAGAATTAGCGCAGAGAACTTCAGAAGGTGCTTAAATGCAAACTCAAAAATGTAACTTAAGACACCCCTTGCTTAGCGCAGAGAATTTCAGAAGGTGCTTAAACACAAACTCAAAAATGTAACTTAAGACACCCCCATCTCTATCATTCTTTTTAATAAAGTCTTGGCCGTGTCTCTTTACTACACCTGAATTATGGAAGACCAGATATCCAGAACCACCTCCAGTCCCCAGAGTGAAGTACTCCATACTACACCTAACATGCCCATGAAAGCCTTTTCAAGTGGGATTAGTTTTTGCTGCCCCTTAAACTTATTGAGAAATGAACCGGTGACAAAAAAGATTAAAAAAATTTAAAAAACCTACTTTTTTTTTCCCTATGCCCCAATATTCTATGTGCTGCATACAGTAGAACCTTTTTACTTGCACACAGCCAGCACCTACTGGAGTCCCATGCAGGGTAACGTACATGCAGATCTCACAGTGAAACTGGGGTTGCAGTGTAAGCTACCCTGGCTTTCAGTTAAGTTATTAAGTTAATTAGATTTCTAATTCAGTAAACTGAATTTTGATTTAAAAAAAAAAAAGACAAATTTAACTGCAAACTAGTCTGCATGAGAAGGCTGAATCAATATTTGGTCCAGTTACTACTGGTGTAAATAGCTTATCACTACAGCTATGATGTACTCTGTTATAACATATGGAAAGAAAATACTCTATCAATAAATCATTTCTAACAAAAAAAAAAACATTCTCTCTTTCTGTTATAACATATGGAAAGAAAATACTCTATCAATAAATCATTTCTAACAAAAAAAAATATCTGATGACTTGCCTCATAGTTCAACCCAGAATGTAATTACTACAAAAATATCAAAATACAAGTATAAGGAGTTTTACGTGTTGCTTTAACTTCTATCAATTATTTCAAACTTGGTTTAGGCAAGCAGGTATTATTTTTTAACATAGAAAATTTAGGGTGATTTTGGTCCCTTTGTAAGTGCATTCTTTTGAACTCCCTGAGTACTGTACATTCCTTTTCTACAGTGATTTCTGACTGGAAGATGCTGAATAAAGTGGGTTTGCATTACTGCATATAAAGTAAAATCTATTGCTTCAAGTGAAACAGAGCAGCGTAAGATTTTACAAAATATGCAGGTGAAGTTTCAGCATTTTGCCCCTAAACATCTGAACTGAGTGTGAGCCCTCAACTTCCCCAAATCTCTCCTTTAGATATCTGATGACTTGCCTCATAGTTCAACCCAGAATGTAATTACTACAAAAATATCAAAATACAAGTATAAGGAGTTTTACGTGTTGCTTTAACTTCTATCAATTATTTCAAACTTGGTTTAGGCAAGCAGGTATTATTTTTTAACATAGAAAATTTAGGGTGATTTTGGTCCCTTTGTAAGTGCATTCTTTTGAACTCCCTGAGTACTGTACATTCCTTTTCTACAGTGATTTCTGACTGGAAGATGCTGAATAAAGTGGGTTTGCATTACTGCATATAAAGTAAAATCTATTGCTTCAAGTGAAACAGAGCAGCGTAAGATTTTACAAAATATGCAGGTGAAGTTTCAGCATTTTGCCCCTAAACATCTGAACTGAGTGTGAGCCCTCAACTTCCCCAAATCTCTCCTTTAAATTCTAGAAGTGGAAGATTTCACATCAGTAAATATAATCAGAAGGTAGTTATAGTTATTATTTATGTCCTGGCAGATAATTCTTACCAATATACCGTCAGCAATATCTGCAAGTTAACACGATGGAGTTACTCAAAGCCCTCCTGGACCACACATCTCAATTCAGGCACTCCGAGGTCAGTAGCTATAGTTGTGGGGTTTTTTTTGTAAAAGAAACATAAATGATATTAACCATCCAACCACCTAACTCCACAGTTTCAAAACACAGTAGTTCATACCAGTTGATAATTAAATTAATAATAAAAAAGACTGTAACACTACGAGTACAAACAAAATCCTCGTATTGAAGTACGAGTACAAGCAAAGTACTGAGAATAAACTGTAGTTTATCCAGTTCCAAAAATAACTGTAAGTCAAAGCAGCGCTAAACATTTGCTTATTGACATTTTCCATTTTCATAAAGAAGAAAACTGGGTAGCACAATGAAACATAAAAGAAACTCAGGTAAGATGTGTTGACTTTTAAAAAAATAATTTATAAAATAACAAATTATCAACAGTTCATCATGTAGCATCGATATAAAGAGTTTAAAGTTACTGAATCAATCAGTATATACTAAAGATAAGATACTTTGATACCAAATGAGGCCTCCAGTTACTTAAGAACTTTGAATTATTTAGCTCATTAAAGGATAGCATTATACCTTAAATTCAACAGATATGGCTGAACCTGTGTACTAGTTAAAATATTGTAACTGCACACACAAAAATGTATTTATATATAGTTTTTACAGTGTATGCATGTGTGTGTACATATTTTTTACTCACCAACAAACACAATGCAGACAATAGAAGGCAGCATAGAAATAGTGTTTTGAATATAAAAATGTTTTGTTTTCAATTCAGTAGAAAATGTGTCATTTGCATTTTGGCAGACTGACTGGTACTACTGTACAAAACCAGGAAAAAGGTCATGCAAAGGGTTAAGATAATTCTTCAACATATATAAGGGAAAACAAAAACAACTAGCAGATTTGAGAATACTTTGCAATTAATGGAAAAAGCATCCAAAAGACAACATGAAATACAGAAATGGTTTAGTTTTGTTCTTTAAACCTGGTTATACCCTAGTACAGATGATGGATTTTATTTTGATGCTCAACCAAAAAAAAAAAAAAGAGAATAAAGTCCTGCTTCTTTCCACAAATACTTTGTTAAACTCAAGTGATTTCAGAAGTATAGTGGCATAATGGCCATAAACAAAAAAAAAAAAAAAAAAAAAAAAAAAAAAGAGAAGAAAGTATTATGGACATAAAATGTTACCAAAATAATAACCACACTCAAAAATATATTTCCTTTCCCCTACTTACAATTATGTTTATTAAAAAAAAAAAACAACAAACAAAGCTTTTACAATATCAAACCAACTGTTGGCTTTTCCAATAAACTTGTAAGTACTCTCCCTGTACATCCCGTTTCTCTTAAGCATTTAGCAGTTCTTATTATACATAAGGTAATGTCTCTGAAGGAATTCAACAGGTGTGTATTCTTTGAAAAATTAGGTATAGCTTTTTGTATTTCATTGAGTCATTCACTCTGTTTTAGCTGCAACGTCTAACATGCTCCAGAACATATTCGGGGAAGTGCAAGCTGCAGACTTGTAAGCCATCCAGCTTGCACGGCATCCTTGGATATTCATCTTCTTTCCATTTGTTTTCCTCTGGATCAAAGGTGAGAATCGAATCACTGTAATGACCATTGTAACAAAGGCCTCCAAGAACCATTATCTGTTTGTCCAGAACAGCTACACCATGACCACTCCTACCGATTGGCATAGAAGCCAATATAGTCCATTGATCAGTATCTGGGTCATAAACCTCTGTAGAAGGACAACCTTGAGATTCAAAGGAGGCCCTTAGGATCACACAGACACCACCAAAGACATAAAGCTTACCATTATAAGAAATCATTTTGTGAAAGCATCTTGCATAATTCATTTTGCATTTGTTCTCCCAACAGTTAGTGACCACTTGAGTTCTCCTTGTTCGCTGCTCTACTGTCCCTTCTTTACTGGGATCAAACACGCACACTTGCTTAGAAGTTGAAGATGATGTAATTCCACCAGTGATATACAACTTGTTACCAAGGACAGTCCCTTCATGTCCATATTTATTGACTGGATAGGGATCCACAAATTCCCACTTATCTTCAGTAATATCATACCGTTCAGTTGAGTAAAATGTTTCATCCCTGGTTCTCCCAGCCACTGCATAAACATACCTCCCAATAACTCCAACAGCAAACTCAGAACGTGGAACAGACATGTCTGCCATTCGTAACCAAGTGTTCTGTCTTGGGTCATATCTGAACACTTTGGATGAAGCATGAAACTCACCATCTGGCCCCAGTTCTTCCCCACCTAATAGGAACACAAAGTTATTCACAATGGCAAGGCAGTCTGGTCGTAAAGGTACTTGAGGACCCTCTAGTTCCCACCAGACCCTTGGTTTGTGCAAGAGAAGAATTTTACTGTTTACCATACTGTGTCCTATCATTCCTCTAAATACTGCAGTCTGGGGTTTGGCAGAACGAATTTTGTTCGATTTCATTTCCATCAAAGGCTGTTGGTGAACGCTATGAAAGTAATTCATGGCTTGGTCAACCTCATGTCGCAGCTGCCGGGAGTATCGATAAAACTCTGATGTTTTTACCTATGAATACATTTAAAAGATATTAAAATTCTGACCAAGAGAAACAATCCAGAAAACCTAAATGACTATGTGTCATTAGGAGATTATTTTACTTAGCTTCATTCAGGCAATCTTGAGAGCAATTGCATTTGTGCATGGAGGGTTAAACTAATGTACTGTTATCCAAAATCCAGAAGGCAATTTAGTGATTAACAACAGTAACTAACATTTTTCAGCAGAATATTCATATGCAGAATGTAAGCCAGAATTAGGCACAATTGAAATCCCCAAGTCTAAAAATCATATTCCTTCTCCCCCTCAAAAAACCCTCTGTTCATCCTCTACTTAATCCATGAAGTGCCTATATTAAAAATGCGCTGTTTTCCTGGTTTTGAAAAACACTGTCTGCACCCATTCTGTGTTTACCAAGGTCTACCCTACTCTAATTTATGCTGAATTCTCACAACCAAGCCCAAGCTGGTATCCCCAAATGCTAGGCTCTGCTCACCGGGCTATTTAATAGGGGTGGGGTGGGAAGGGCAGGTACCCTAATCCCTTCCTTCAAAACTTGCGACTACACAAACGATTCATCTTGATGGTTACCTTATGGTTTCCCCTCTGTGAGTCTCCATATGTTAACAAACATCTTTAACACAAGAGAAGAATATCTCAACCTATAATCCTTTGGTTGTGCATTCATTTGGTTAATTGCAGAGGTGAGTTTGAACTTCCATGTCCCAGGTGAGAGTTACAATCTTTGAATAACCACATAGTAGTGAAGCGCTCCTTCTCAGCACTGTCTCAATTTGAAAAGAGATATCCCTGCTCATTTTTACTGGAGTTGGGGATGGGGTGGAGGGTGATTGTAAAAATTTACCTTTCCAAGACCCTTCCTACTCTCTAAGGCAATTTAAGTCCCTGAGACGATTCCAAAACACATCCCTGTCTCGAACATTTAAATTCATCTAGCTCTGGGCATCATCCCTCAGGTCATCACGTGATTCTCTTCAAAGAGGCTTCACTTTTCCTGTACAGTCTGGTCTAACACATCATTCTGAATTACACTTCAAAAACAAGTAAAAACCTGTGAGATGCTACCAAATCCACAGATCCTCTATCAGATTTGATCCTAAGGCCCAATTTCTTTCACATAAAATTGGATTGCTTTCAAACACTCCAAATGCCTTCAGTTCCCACCAGCTCTGAAAAAGAGTCAGGCCAATGAAATTTTGAAGTGACCACAACATAACACCAGAAGCTACTATTTTTCAGTATCTGTGCCCCCACCTCCTCCTATATACACTTACCTAAGGGAAGGTGGTGTGAGTTTTCATGTGTATGAAAAACAATCTGGAAATTAATGTTCTTTATACCTTGTGAATAAAGTAGTTGTTTTTCCCATAAACTTGTACTATTCAAATTTTGTTAGCTTTCTGTTAATAATTTCTCTTCCTTATATAGTAATTAAGACATTCTGCAGTCAGATAAACATTTAAAAAATATTTTCAACCGTTATTACTGGACATGATTTGCACAGACTGTTTACACACCAGATTTGAAAAAAAAACCCTGAATACTAACCTATCATTGTAAAGCACTGTAGTGTTTTTAGAGTTTGTAGAGTTACAGTGATGTGACGTTTTTAATTAGACCTTTTCTTTCCCCCACTTTATTTTGACAAGTTCAACTTATCTTTGCTTGGAAAAAGAGGATGGTCACACGCAGATTGCATATTTTATTCCAAGGCAATATCCAACTTCTTTCTACTGTTTTTACCGGGGCCAATAATAGAGCCAAAAGGTTTACTTAGGTATAGAGCTTATAAAACACCCACCGTAAACCCAACTCTTTCCAGGGATTAATAGATCTATTTTCTTATGGCAAGTAAAGAATACACCATACAAACACAGGAGATTTGCTCATATGGCATTTGTTAAAATAAACCATATTCCTTGCCTGACTGTAAAGGCTAAACATAAATTCCAGAAACCATGCTGGGGGGTTGGGGAGAACCACAGCACAAAAAAATGGCAAAATATAGAAAGCCTTAAGGTTACAAAAACATGAAACAGGAAGTTCAAATAACCAAGAATCACGGGTGGGTTACTTTACGCTTAGAAGTAACTTTCAAAATCTAAAACAGCACAACTATTTCACACACTCCCACACTGGAGCTATTATTTTTGGAATTAAACAAGAAGACAAACAATTTTTGTTCCACCTATATGCATTTCAAGTTTTCTTGGATGATTATGGAAGACAAGAGGATCAACATGCTTACAATGTGAAGCACACCAGCAAAGCCTGGCAGAGATGGAAAACATTTTTTCTTTCCCCCTCAACATTTACAGCTCTGTCTTTAGATCTGGAAATTGAAATGCCAGCCAGAAAGTGGAATTAAAATAAGCCTCATATATTCTCATCACTCTACTCCTTCACATAGCCTAAATCTCACCCCATGAGAGCATGCAAAAGGAAACAAGGAATATCTCTAATTCCAGAGACAGAATCTCAAGACCAGGGAATTAATTTATTAGTATTTTACTACTACTGATCTTGACAGAAGCACTAACATCAAAGCAAAGCCTCAATCTCTTACCTCAAACCAGAAAGACATCAAGAAGCAAATGCAACTACCACTTATAAACAACTCTTTCAGAGTGAAGTTCGTGGGAAGCTATCTACAAGCACAATCTTGAAGAGATGAAAATAAAAATATATAAGCACTAGGATTTTTTTTACAATATTCAGAAAAAATAACCCACAACAAAACAGAGTGTTACACTATGTAAATTCTGGTAAGAAGAGGTAATAGAAGGTTTCCTAGACTTTGCTGTTGAGGAAAACATCAGTGTTTCTAGCCTTCCACCTTTCACCAGCATAACCTCTTCCATATAGGAGCAGTACTTCTCCTGAGGCTCAAATGACAGTCTAATATGAGTGTTAGGATATGCCTACCTGGAAGTACAGACTGCTCATGCTTGCTTGATGCAAATGAAGACAAAGCAAATGTAGGTCAGTTTTCCCACTTTCACATTCACACTGCCTGCGTGAAATCTATTTCCAAGTCCTATTCAAGCCATAGTAGGGAAACTCTCTGAACATCTAAACTTCTGAATAATTTTACAATACTTCTAATTATTTGTGTGTATAATAAAATAGAGAAGCATTAAAATTCAGGTGCTTAGGTATTAAAATACAACTTTAAGTTGTGTGTATATTTTAGTTTTAGTAGATTGAAGAACACGGCCTTCAGCATGCCTGTTGTGGAAATTGCTGTCTGATACCTGAAATATGCTGGAGGAAAGTTCAAAAGTAGGCTTCTGCCATTACCCATAAGTAGCAACAAGCTGTTGATCAACAAATAAGAAAGAGCTTACTAACAGACCGATTTTCCTGTTAAGGTCAAATGGAGAAGCTCTATAAGGAACACACACCTAATTACCAACATACTCCGAATGCTCACAAGTTTCTGCAAAGCACCCAAACCAGATGGAAATGTGCACTAACCATGATGAACCTTGAAGTAAAACAAATGCGGATTCTTTAGAGTACATCATCAACTCCAAACTGATTTTAAAAAAAAAAAGTTTCACAGCATTTTCAAAATTTAAAGAAAGACTATCCTGTTATCTTGCTGAAGGGTCTCAAAGAAAAGTTTAAATTGGAATTCTTTACCAATCCCCGTCTCATTGTAAAAATTAATCCAAGTGCTAAAGCTTTGCTCATGTGAATTTTTACATTATTTCCAATTCTTTCTCTTCGGTTTCCTAGACAAAATCTTACAGAGGTTCTGCTGGAACACAGTGCTAATATAAGAGCCCCTCGAAGAACCCTTATGAAAACTATCTCACTGCACCATCTACCAGTTACAGTGGTTAACAGTTGGACTACACAAACAGGGAACAGTATAAACAATATCAAATGTGTCATTCAAGAAAAAAAAAAAAAAGAAGAAAATAATTAAAAACATCCACCTTCTCTACTCACCCCTTAGGTAGTCAATACCAAAAACATCAGAACTTTGCCAAAATCACCACCATCCCTCCTGCCAGAGTAAACTGGAGCTTGAATGCATTTTCTTTTCTTCATTTCGAATCAGTTAAATACTCAGTGAAAACCATGGGCTTTCCAAAGTAATGCAGCTATTAAGAATTGCCTATTTTTGTGCTCTATTGCAATGCATGTTTTTTGTAGCTGCAGTAGCTATGCAAGTTTCAGAAATTTCTATCTATATTCTATGGAAAAGTAAAGCCAAAATGTAAGCCATTAGTTTTCAATTTGAAAAGTGATCCCCATAAAAGACCAGATGTATCCTATCTTATGTTCATCATTTGTTCATCTAAAGCCTGTAAACAAACATTATCAAAGTGTTAACACACTTACTCCAAACCAAAATTCAGTCAAATATAAAAAGTCGCAGCTATGTCTCTAAAACAGCAGCAACCAAAATTACTTTGCAACCAAACAGTAGTATACATAGCACTGCAGAAGCTGTTGTATTTAACTTTCCCTTTTTCAAGCTTGGATCATTACTTAGTTACATCCCACGGCCAGTACGAACACTGGTCAGTACCAGCATAGGGCTTTGAAGGGCTATTCTGCAAGCGCTACCAATCACTTACTGTTTTTCAGCCTAACCACAGAAAGACAAGAGGACACAGCCTCTGTGCAGCAAGGACAATGCCCATCAAATTGGTAAAATTCCTTTTTATAAACTGGCAAGAGAAATTATCACGATCAAGCTGGAATCTCTCATATCTAATCTCTCAAATTGAACTGGAGCCAAGAATCTATATGCCAGGACTGAGATGCTCAGCACATCATAAATATGCCAGTAAATCTATCCTAGTCTGCAATAACCTTTAGACATAAAAATATCAAGAGCAGCACCTATTTAAGGTTAAGAGGGGCCCACTAACCTCATCCACTAGACACTTCTTATAAGCTTCAGCATACGAAGTTGTAGAAGTAGATACATACGAATTACTAAACATGGAGGTAAATGAGAAAAAAAGAGAGAAATTCAACACATTTATAAAGATAAAGTCACAATGACATAAAATTACAATGACACCTTCTCAAAAGTTACTATTTTCTAGGCACAGGAAAGCACATACTCAAAGATAATGTGCTATTCATCCTACTCTAAAGCATAAGCTGATTCACCTACTGATTAGTAAGCTTCTGCTTTAAGCTGGGAATTTATAAATCAGCGTGGACTAGTCATAGCAAACCCTACAGACTGGACATCAAAATAAAAACCTTTTGATTTTAAGGACACAGGTTTTGAAACAACATTTCAATCTGAGTAGTACACAGAAAGTAAACGGAGCTTAAACAGTGTATGAAGGGAAATCATGACATGGTTGCATCCAATAACACAGATATGAACTCAATGATCTAGGAGAAATACCCTCTAGCTTTTAACTCCAATTTTCCTCAATACTTATAGAGCCAGGGATATTTCAAATAAAGAAAAGCATAACATGGATAATGGAACTTGTGCTTCTGCCTGTACACTTTTCCTTTACTTTCTAACTGTTCCCCAAAACCTTACTTCATTTATCTTTCCATTCTCCCTGACACATCTACATCTATTTTAAGGGCTGAGGAACAAAAGGAGTATCTACTCGTACTTCAGAAGCAGTTCTTCCAGGACAGCTTTGAGTAAGCAAACAGGCTAAACCTTCACTCCAAATGCACATCAGCCTCAAGGTATAAATCTAGAGTCACTCATCAATTCCTTTTGAAAAGGACAAGCCATCCCACTCAAAATGTAAATCTCTTCCAAAAAAAATGATGTAAGAAATAGAATGGCTTAAGAGGCCAAGAAGTATCCTTACTGTGACTTGCAACGTTAAGTTATATAAGTTATTTATATACTACAATGACAGGCATCTTAGAAATGCATATTAGCAAGATTACATAAGGGTACGTATGACAAGCCAGCCAGTGCACAGCGAATACAGAGCTCGCTGAACCGGGAGAATCAACCTCAGATTGGTGCATTCACACAGCGTTCCGTATATGCTGGCTTCAGAAAAAGGGTGAATTTTGGTTTTGGATCTCCAAAAAAAGCATTTTTTCCAATATTTCCCTTCTTCTACACGCAGAAGAGAGTTGTCCTCAGGTTACTTCTAGAACAGTTAACAGACTCTTTTATTTAAAAAAAAAAAAAAAAAAACAGCGTGGTCTATATTTTGATGTTAGCTCCAACTGGAGTTATCCTTTGTCACTTGTCATGCTGGATTACACAACGCTCTCCTCTCCAGCCAGGGCAAACCACAAATACATTCCTGGCTGCAGCAACGAACGACACACTTATTTAGCTGTGCTCCCTCTGCTGAATTGTCCCGTTCCAAAATCTGCACTGGCTTCTCTCTGCTCCCAAATACAATTAATGGAAAGTATTCACAGATAAAGCTTTTACATGTGGGTATATAAAATGGGATGCTGAAAATTACTTCTCTCCTTAAGTTGTACCTAACTGGCCATTTGGTAGCTGTTAAGATAAAACATGAGAAGCACTGTGTGCAGTGGATTTATACCACTGATAACAAAACCAGCTCCAGAAGTTATACCTAAGTATAATGCTGAAGAGCGACATACACTTTTCTCTTACAGAAATTTAACTGAAAACACCTTGATGCTTGAACTTCTATCCCAAAACCTCAAAGAGCTGAAGCAGGGTCTTCCAGATGAATCTTACCCTATTAAATTGACCTTAAGAATACTCTGCGAATCCTGTTACTTTTTCTACTGAAGGGCTTAAATGACTTAACAATAAGACAAAAGCGTTATTAAAAACAAGACACTCCACAGTATTTTTGCAGAGTTCAGCTCTTACTAGCTGGAAATGTTTTAACCCAATATAAACATTACATTATTGTTCTAAAATATGTCTAGGTATTTATTTTATGTCTATAGGCTAATATAGGATCATAAGTATATTTTATGTATTATACGCCCTCTACTCAATTCACACGCACACAAAAATTCCAAAATATAAAAACTCACTAGTCTCTGAAGTAATTAACAGCTTTTATAATTTAAAATACAAATAAGTGTAAGCATTACTGCTTAAACGATGCAGTAGCCCTTAAAACCACCAAGAACAAAACAACTTTACCTGTATATTCACTAGATACTGAAGTAAAAATACACAGAAAATTAATCTGTAAGAAGCCCAACAAAAACACAGGGTCTTAAATTCCAGTAATTCACTGACAGGTGAAAAATACACAAGTTAAAGTTGTATCTTATCACACAAAATTAACATTGTTAAAGCAAAACAGCACAGTTTAAGTAGTTCCTAACCTAAATACCCTACTGTTACTAGCCTGAGAGAGTGCTGCTTACAAAGTTTTGTAATTCTCTACTGTTGACAAATACTCAGAGGTTTCCAGGAACTACAAAACAACATTTTTTGTCTATTCTTCAACAGAACAGTAGAAAAAGCACGTTCTCTTTTAACCTCTTAATACATACAATGATCAGTTGAATTTTAGATCACCTGTTACAAAGATTCCTCTGATATTTAAAGTTAATCATTACATTTCACATTGTCAATAACTTTTGATAGTATTATGTGTCTTGTGTAGAACCAAATGTATGCGTAATGTTGCAGGATCAGGGCTTACTTCCAACTGCTGTGTAACAGCACAAGAACTAAAGATACAACAACAAAAACACCCTGCAGATTTAACAGCAGATGCTAGTTTTCACTTGTAAATAAAAATATCTGTACTTAAGAGAGGTAAAATCTACAGTCACTATGTTTTGATTATATCAATAACAATTATGATGACATAGGCCCTACATGCTGTATGCACCTCTAAGATCTCTGGAAAGCAAGAAGCAACTTGTGGAAAACAGTAAGAACGACTGAAATAAAACTTGATACAAGTGACCTTGTTTTAAAACGTCCTTTCCATATGAAGTCGCTTAGAAACATGTATTGTAAACCTACCTGTTCTCCGGTCACCATAGATTCTATTGTCTAATAATCAGATGACAATACTTTTAGATGTTTGGTTTTTTATGGATTTATTAGAAAAATAAATGCTACCTTTTTGTTCCTCCTAATAGGTTTGGGAATCTTACCTATTTAATGACATGCTGCCCTAGCTAAATGATGAATCCTGTCTATTGGTTTTCAAATGCACCAACCTTCTCAAAAACACTGGATGGTGTCATCAAACAAAACCTGATGTTCTGAATGATGGTGTCCGTATGCCTCCAGCGTCTTCTATCATGGCGTAGCCAGGCCTGAACAGCTTCATACAGCTCTATCTCTGGAAACCTGCTCAGATGATCATTATCCAAGTAAGACATGAGCTTCTCAAAGCTCAGATACGAAAGGAAGTCAGGTCTGGACATGAGTGGCACAAAATTCTCTAGTAGAAAGGAGTCCAATTTTTCCCTGACTCCTTCGATGTTTACACCAAAATCATCCAGGAGTCTCATGATTTCGGCACAGTTTTCTAAGCAGATTTTAGCTAAAAGAAAAGAGCAGCAAAATTTTACCACCTCTATAAGCTGGACATACATGGCAGCCTGAAGGATTTCATGAACAGTGTTCATACTGAGTTCAATAGTTCCATAGTACATGAACTGGAGGACATGACTGAAGCCTGTAGCTGTCAGACCTTTCAAATGGATTTTGTCCTGATCTCGTTCTCGCATATCAGCTGTGAACATAATCCTGAAGTAATCACTCTGGGTGGCAAGCAGTGCTTTATGGGCCTGAAATTGGTGGTCTTCAATGACAAGTGTGACATCAAGAAGCAATCCCTCCTCATACAGTGCTCTGAATCCAGCAGAGACACTGGTGTCATGGATGGAGGAGCTAAACCCTTCCACGTCCCCTGCCATGAATCACCTGGGGGGAAGAAAACATAAATAAATAAAAATAAAAATAATTTGTTATTTCTAATAACATATCACAAGCCTTTCCTAAACAGATAAATCCTGAGGTTGCTTTTGTTAAAACATAAAAGTCTGCACCATCCTTTTTGTTTTCTCTTCAGCTGAAAAATCAACGTAAAACACAAACGTTAAATATTTCCCCCCCCAAAATATTCTCATTTTAAAGAAAGGGTAATGAACAAGAGTAACTATGCAATACTGTCAAAGTGATTCCTCACTCCAAGCTACTTACTGGTCAGATAATGAATATGCAAAGTTGAAAAGGTTGCCATGGTTTTCTTACTATCCCACTTCAATCTTTCTGAAGATTTTATCTCAGGGGAGCAATAAACACCCACTTTTGAATATCAAAGATTTCAGAAAGGAAGCCAAACTTCCTTAACTTCAGAAACAAGGTCCAGTAGATTTGTACAAGGTATAACCTAAAAAAAATTTAGTCTCTTTAAAAATATATGTCACTTTACTCAAAAGTTATTTCTAGGAAACGGAACATTTTCAGAGATGCTATTTAAGTTTGTGTGTCTCACTTCTGTAGCAACGTAATCCATTTTTTCCTCCCCTTGTTTCTTACTATAGGAATTAATTAGGTGATGAGATTATAAAAGGCAATATACTAAGGCAAGAAGAAGCACTGACAAGATTAGGTCACAATAAATATATTCTCTATACTGGGTTTAGTGAAGCTTAATTGCTTATTAAGCATTTGAACATTTGCAGATGCATAGTGTTACTTACATGCAGGCTATAGTCAAACTGTGAATAAGCCAAAAATAAATTAAAGCCTAGCAGGATCCTACCCTGCTAAGGTTAAGGAAGATAAATACTAAACAAAAATCTCTATCAAAAACTATTCAAAAATCCAGGAATTTGTCACAATCTGGCTCAACTGCCTTGGGTTCAGGTAGGGTGAAGTTGCATGAGTCAGCTTGAATCAATCTAACAATTTATAACTAATCAAAGGGAAACGGTGCACTCCATTCTCCCTCCCTGTCATTCTGGGGTCTGAGCTCCTGCTCCCTACTATAAGCCATTTCTGAGGCTCACTGGACTGCTCTAGAAAACCAATGCAACTCCTGACAGAAAACTAAACCAAGGAGGGGAACGGGACACATACAATGACACAAACACCAACACCCCAGCACACATAAAACCTCAGAACCAGAGAGCTTTCTGCTTGTTAGTGAGCTGGCTTCTTACTTGACACAGCAAGGGTATGGCACAAGAACCCACCTGATGCAGAGGGCAGGACATCCCACACGAGAAGGAACAGGGAAGAAGAGTCACATCTTCCCATTTTGGCATTAATCAGCTACCAGAGTTGGTTCACCCAATTTTGTTTCATTTTATCCCACCTTAAATTACACTGCAGCATTCACTCAGTTATTTGTGCCTTTAACCCTGAACTTCCTATAACAATTAAAGTTAATAATGTTCTGGTAACCTACATGAAAAGCTAAATAACACCAACATCAACACATTTTTAAAAACTGCAAATTGTGCTAATTGTCAAGGTTATAGGAATTTTACAGCAGTATATGGACTCGGGAGTGACTCTTAGATTGGCCCCAGTTTCACAGCTTCCAAGAGCAGTTATGATGCTACTCCCACTTCCTTAAGCACCGCATCCTGACTGCTGCCATTTTAACTGGATCTGTATTTTATTTGACTCCATCAACAGATAATCATCTCCTCTCCTTAATTCATCAGCACACATCCTGGAAAACAGAACTGGAGATACTCTTTGTCTATGCAAAACTAAAATGGTGAGTGGGTGTTTGTAGCCACACCTCATGACATTAGCACTGCTCCCACACTGCTGAATCCGGCTCTGTGCACAATAGAGTTAATGCTGGGAGTGTTCCTGAAAATTAAGGTTTTATGACAAAATTCAAATTCTTGAAAGTAAGAGCAACAGCAAGAGAACAAAGCTGACAGTTCAATCACTTTATCGCCAGCATCCATGATAGCACGTTCCCCTCAATGTCACTAGAGAGAAAATGCAAACTGCTCTGAAGCTTCATATTTTGAGTCCCTTAATTCTGAACACAGCACATGCCTACCAGAAAGAAAAATTACCATTACATATTTTTCTTAGCTGTTGCTAAATCTTGCATAAAAACAGACAATGAAAGAATTACTGTACTAACTCTTAGCACCAAAAAAAAAAAAAAAACAAACTGAAGAAGCAGCATAAAGCCTCACTCTTCAGGATTTTGCTTTCTGATATCAAATACAAGGTAAACACTAATATTAGCTTTTTTCTTTCTCTAGAGCACTTGTAACACCTCCCTCCCCCAGCCCCAGTTTGCTGCTGCTTAATAACAGTTGAGGTCATACTTCAGTCTTTCCAGTTTAAGAGATTTAATGGTCACTTGCCTTTAAATGGGCCACCCATTTTCATAAAGTATACAGCAACTTGAAACCACTATGTCTCAATTCTGTTTGAAATAGGCAAAGAGGTCCAAAGGTTACCAGGATTCTCAGACAGTACAACTCCATAAGCTGCATTTCTTTAGGAGATCAACTAAAACACATGGCTCAGTTTCAACTCCAAGATCAACGGAAAAGACTGGACAGGACAGTTGCAACTTAAAAATGCAAGACATAAACAGAGTAACGTAACAATATATTTGGAAGAAAAAAAAACCAACAAAAAAAGAGTCAGAAATGAAGTAACATTCCCCAGGTGACTGAAGCAACATACATTAATCTGAAAATAACAGGATCTGCCATCACACAGGCTCATGCAGGCAACAATCTCAGGGAAGGGATTTCTTCAGGACAGTACATACGCTACTGCGTACGTGAACAACATAGAGGAACCATACCAGTGAGCTCCAAACACATAATAGGGTCTTTCCCCTTAACTTGAGAAAGATAATTACATTATAGGCACTCTGCAATTAAAAGGAGAGAAAAAAACCTTTTACATAGGATGTCTTTAGAAGGCCCCTTTCAAAGGAGCAAAAAGAGTTGGCAAGTGAAGAGAAGCAGAGACAAATGGTAGAGGGTGAACGCACCAAATCCAGAGAAGCACCTCCAGTGTTCTTTTTCAGGATCAAAAAAAAAAAAAAATAATACACAAAAACAAGAAACCTGTATCAGAGAGAGTGCTGGGCAACTGGCTTTAGGTGGTCCTGCTGAGCAAGGGGCGTGGGCCAGGTGACCTTCAGAGGTCCCTTCCAACCTCAACCAGTTTGTCATTCTGGCATCATCTTGCTTTTCAATAGAGACTGCACTGATTTTTATTTTTTTATGGCCATCCTTTTAATTCTGGTTAAAGAAGACATATATACCATATTCTGGTGGTATAAGACACACAACAAATCAGATATAAGCTACTACCCTTTGAATTTTAATTCTGTCAAAAAAATCAAGTGTTAGGAACCACCAAAATACATTATAAAATCCCAAGAATTTAGGGAACAACTTTAAGGGTTCTAATTTTCACATCTCCCTAAAACTGGCTATTCCATAAAAATATATTTAAACCAGAAGTCAGCTGCAAAAACTCTATAATGGTAACAAAGTGGTCAACACTCTGAAAATATTATTTCTGAATATTTAAAAAATGTGGAGGTTTAAATCACTTGATCTTTCCTTTCACATCCTTGCTTATATTATTTTTAGTAAATCTACAGTTTTCAATCTCACAATATTCTTTCTCTCAAACATCAGACAGCATTTAATGGTTTAAGTAGAGACAAAACCAGTAAGACTTCTTCGTAACAGCAACTAAAGAAGCTTCAGAAGTGAAGTGAAAAGCAAAAGACTATTTGTCTTCCTGCATTAAAGAAAAGGAGTAAATATCCTTTTGTGGCATAAAGCCATACAAAGCATCAACAGACACATTTTTCTTTACAACACAAAAATGTATTGGCCAGTGCAAATACACAGGGGATTAAAATAGCACAGAGACTTGGAAACTAGATAGTTAAATGCATATTATGATCAACTGGTAAAAATCTTCATTTCTATAGCTAGTATCCTTAGCCAAAAGCAAATAGCAATGTGGTAGTTCAAATATTAAAAAAGCAATACAAAATACTCTCAAATTAAGTCATTTTTCTAAAGCATAGCTATGCCATTCCTCCCACACACAGACTTGCAATCTTAGATGTAATTCTATGCACTATTCGAATGCTGCAGCTTATTTCCCAGAGGACAATAACATAATGATTTTTTTTTCACGTTTTCAATAAAAATGCAAAATTTAGAGTTAGATTTTCTTCATCCATGCAAATCACAATAGCACACTCAATCCTAAGGCAGACATGTAGCCTGCAGTGATCTATAAGAAAACTGGAACAAAAAATTCCAATGTATAAACAATAAGGGGGAAAAATAGAAAAAAAAAAAATCTAAGTTGACGTTCTTCATTGTTCTGCGCATACTAGAGCTGATCAGTATAATGCAGCACAGGAAGTAAGATTCTCTGCTGAAAAACCAAAAGAGAAATACGCTTAACCTTATTAGCTTTCCCTGACATTTCTTCCTCTTTTAGCACATAATGCATTACAGAGTCTACTCTGCCATGACTGTAAAAGCACTTACTTGGAACACTGATTTCTCATCTTTATTCCGCAGCTGTAATATAAGTCTGAAAACCCTGTTCCAGACTGCTTTTTCTTGCTAAACAAGGAGGACCTTCTTTCCTCAGGGTGTCTGAGGCTCTTAGTCACAAACAGAAGAAATGGAGTCTAAATGCACAGGCTATTTAGAAGAAAGTTATGGAATACCCAGGTTTGGCTCATGTCCTGCTTCATTTAAAAATCTATCCAAAAGCAGTACTTACTGAAAAAGTGCCCTTTAAATAAGTGTGTTTATGTAATATGTAAGCTTATATGCACTTTCTAGGAATAGAAACGTATTGTTCTAGGAAAGTAATTGACAATACCAGCTCTAGCACACCAGCTGAAGGGCAGATTTCTGCTTTCCTTTACTGCTGGTCCT